CCTGTGAACCAGGAGGTCACAGTTCGATTCCTGGTTAGGGCACATGCCCGGGTTGTGGGCTGATCCCTGGTGTGGGGTGTGCAGGAGGCAGCTGATCAATGGTTCTCTCTCATCATTGATGTTTCTATCCCTCTCTCCCTCTCCCTTCCTCTCTGAAATCAATGAATATACTAATATGTGTATATGTATATGTATATATTTTAAAAAGAACACTCTAGGTAATGTTTTTCATCATAGTCTGACAGGGCAGACTTTTCCTGAGCTGTAAAGCTTCTTATCTCCAGTCCCTTGTATCCACTAAACCAGTGGTCGGCAAACTCATTAGTCAACAGAGCCAAATATCAACAGTACAACGATTAAAATTTCTTTTGAGAGCCAAATTTTTTAAACTTAAACTATATAGGTAGGTACATTGTTATTAACTTAATTAGGGTACTCCTAAGGCTTAGGAAGAGCCACACTCAAGGGGCCACGAGCGGCATGTGGCTCGCGAGCTGCAGTTTGCCGACCACGGCACTAAACCAATTGAGAAGCAAAGAACTATATTAAGTTACCACAGGATATGTTGATATTAATTTAGGAGTCTTATATAAGAAGAGGAAGTATGTAGCCTTCTCATAGTATCACTGAAGAAAATAAAACCAGAGAGATTCCTAGTTCCCAATGTCACAGAAAGCTAATATTAGAGTCTCATATTATGTCCACTTTCTCTGATTTATTTTCTTAATGCAGAATTATTATTAACACTATTTATTGTGATTGCAACAATAAAAAATAAAAGTAATTTGCCTTTATTTATAATTTGGAATAGAACAATAAAAATAGCTACCTTGCCTGGCAGGGCGTGGCTCAGCGGTTGAGAGTCGACCTAGGAACCAGGAGGTCACAGTTCACTTCCTGGTCAGGGCACATGCCCTGGTTGCAGTCTTGATCCCCAGTAGGAGGTGTGCAGGAGGCAGCTAGTCAATGATCCTCTCTCATCATTGATGCTTCTATTTCTCTCTCCCTCTCCCTTCTCTGAATCAATCAATAAATATATATATATGTATATATATAATATCTAATCTATATATATCTATATCTATATCTATATCTATATCTATATCTATATCTATATCTATATCTATATCTATATCTTGACCTTACATTGTATGAGAATCCTGTTCCCAATTTATCATATATATATAATTGATTTCAGAGAGGAAGGGAGAGGGAGAGATAGAAACATCAATGATGACAGAGAATCATTGAATGGCTGCCTCCTGTAAACCCCCTACTGGGGATAGAGCCTGCCACCTGGGTATATGCCCTTGCTTGGAATTGAACCCAGGACCCTTCAGTCTGCAGGCTGGCGCTCTATCCACTGAACCAAACCAGCTAGGGCCTAATTTATCTTTTAAAGGTAAGGAATATGAGGTCTGCTATTAACCACACTTACAGAAAGTGGCAGAGCCCAGGTTTGCCCAATTCCAAAGCCCAGGCGCTGGCTGGAAGCATATAGGCAGTCTACCACCATGCTGTTTATCAGGAATGTGAAAAGTCATGTTCCTGAATGAAGTGATTTAGTCTAGAAATTCACAATTGTTTTTATAATTCTCAAGGATACCTCTATTTCAAGTGAGGCTCTAAATTTCTAAAAATGAAATAGAAGTCATGTTCTAATGACTTTGAATTCACTTTATTAAGAATATTTATAAGATATACCCCCTTTTAAACTAATAAAGATAATCAATATGGTAAAAGGGAGAGCTGTATCAAAGTATTTGGTATAAACTTAGCAAAGCTGGAGATTTAATAAAATTATACTGTTTCTAGCATTCAAAGTCAGTCTCTCTCTCTCTCTCTCTCTCTCCCCAACAGGCACCTTTCATCTTAAATAGCATTTCAGATAACACAACATTTAGAACATTTCTTAATAGTGATAAATCATGATAAATCAAGTCTGAGTAAAATATAGCATGACAATGTTACAGAAAATTTACATTTTAAATGGTCATTTTCAGGGTGTGGATGAAAGAAACATTCTTGTCTTTTTGCATCATCTCCAACTATTTTTGTCTTAAGGAGAAAGAATGTTAACCCATTGGTCTTTTTTCCTTGCTGCTTTCAGAATACTATGTAAGTAGAGAACACTCCTTCAAGAGCAGGTAAAATACACCCCACCCTGGTTTTGCGAATGTTGTCATCAGGAACAGATGTTGAGTAATAGCCAGAGAAAGTCACGCTATGATGCTTCTACATCACCTGTTAAGATCAGCCAGGTACAAGAAAGGGCAAGGGAATGCTCTCTCCAGTCTTTTTTCTTTTAAATAATTCTTTATTGTTGAAAGTATTACATTTGTCTCATTTTTTCCCCATTGACCCCCTCCAGACCGCCCCTGGCCCCCGCCCCAGGTCCTTACCGCCCATAGACACAGACAATGGGACTATTCCAGTTTTTTAAATTTATTATGAATAAAGTCTCTATGATCATTCATGTGCAGATTTTTGCATGGATATAGGTTTTCATTTATCTGGTATAAATGGCCAAGAGTACAATTACTGGGTTGTATGATGTGGTTGGCAAAATAATGGTTTTCCAAAGATGTCCGTGTCCTAATCCCTAGAACCTGTGAACATGTTGCTTTACATGGCAAAAAGGACTTTGTATATGTGAAAGAATTAAGGATCATGAGGAAGGGACATTTTCCTGGATTATCATCGTGGGCCCAAAGTAATCAAAAAGGGCCATTTTGGGAGGGAGGCAAGAGGGTCAGAGTCAGAGATATTAGAAGATACTACCCTACTGGCTTTGATGACAGAGAAAGGGACTGTGAGGCAAAGGATGCAGGTGGCCTTGGGAAGCTGGAACATTGAATCAGAGTCTCCCTGAGAGTGCCCAGAAGAAACACAGTCCTACTGATACCTTGAGTTTCATTCATAAGATCTATTTCTTACGTCTGACATCCAGAAATGTAGATATAAATTGTTTTTAAAGCCAGTATGCTTGCGATAATTTGTTATAGCATCACTAGAAAACTGATATATATGGTAAGTAAATTTTTAGTTTTAGAAGAAACTACCAAACTAATTTTCAGAGTGGATAGTTCTGGGTTTTTTTTTAAGGTTTTACTCTTTACTCAAGAATCAACACATATTTTACTTCTTTCATAAAGCCTATTCTTATTTATTTGAGCAAACCTGAAGAAACATGGCTGGAGTACAGTTCACAAAGGTGGAAAATTATAGTGGATGAGATCAGATAGATAAGCAGGGGACAGATCAGTGAGATCCTCATAAGATAGGATAAAGTGTTTAGATTTATCCATTGCGTAACAGGAAGCCACCAGAAGAGTTCAAACAAGGGAGGGGCATATGATTTATGTTTGAAAATGACCACTCTCATAAGTAGAATGGTTTGAAGCACAGCAGTAATAGAAGAGGGAAAACCAATTAAGAAAATAATGCATTGACTAGGTCAGCAGAAGTGGAGTTGGAGAAAAGTGACAGATTTAGGATTTATCTGTAGGATATAGGCCATAAGATTGCTGCTAAATTGGCTATGGGCATGAAGAAAAGAGGGGTTCTTGCTTGATAACCAGGGGATGGTGATATCCTTAACTTTGGAATATTATTACTTTGGGTAGATGGTGCTGAGAGGGAAGAGATGTCAAATAAGCCATGATTTATGTATTTGAGTAGAAAAGTTATCAATGGACAATTAGAGGTTGGTTCTAGAGGCATAAATTTGGGAGTGATTAATTAGTGTTTCAGTTTATGAGCTTGGATAGGATTCACCTGGAAGAGTACAGTTAAAGGAGAGGGGGAACAAAATACTTGAATTTATGGATATAATCGGATGAAGAGTTTTAAAACTATCTGAGTAGTAGCACTCTGTGAAAGTAGAGAAAGACCAGGAGAGGATCAAATCATAAGACAATTGTGTTAAATGCCACTGAGAAGTCAAACAGATTAGGAGGATGGACAAAATTAGTTAAGCTGTGCCAGTTAAGTACAATGGAAGGAGGGAGTCATAATGATTGGCAAAGGAATCTGAGCTAGGTGCATAAATTAGGAAATGTGGAGTTAATGGGGTGAAAAATACTGAAGTGATGAGGGTGAGGGGTCAGTAGGCCTAGTGAAATGAGAGTTAGAAGTTAGAGTGGGAGTACTCAAATAGGTGAGCTGTAGGTGTTGGTAAAAAAGGAAGATACTTGAAATCAAGATTTGGATAATAATTAATGATGATGAGATCAAGGTATGTATGACCTTGGGAAATATGCATCAGAGGCATGGAGAAGGCTAAGGAAGAAAGAGGCCAGGCAGAATGGTACTATGTGTTCCATTTGGATATTGAAATTATCAAGATGTCAAGAGTAGGGAGGGTACAACAAAAGCCAAAGAGCCAGGTATCGATGATTTGCCCAACTAAGTATAAAATCTCCCTCTTTAAACTTTCTTTTTAATTTTGTACCTTCTTAGTAATTCTTTTCTTATTCTTTGCTTTTATGTACTTGTTTTTTTTTTCCTTCTAGATTAGGCATTGAAAACAAGTTTTTTGCTATATTCTGTAGCATGAAGCACATGTTTTCCATATGGTGTGGCAGTGAATAAGATTATAAATAGTGATCCTATGAAGCCTCTGTATGACTGAGGGCAGAACCACTTCATTAAAGGCCAGTCTAGTTTGGAATAGGTGGGAAAATACAAAACAATGGTTTACTTTAATATAACCCTTTAGAGAAATCATACGCCATATGACAAAGATATATAGAAACAGTCCAAATTTATTTTAGAAGAGATTTTTCAATTCTTTAGTATAAAAATAAACAAACTTATTTCAACACTTTTACTTTACATAAATTTAAATACAGTCTGAGGCACCAAAACATTCACATACACATTCTGAATTCCTGGGTTCAGACAGCAGGTTGATGTTAATAACAACTTAGTTTTTAAATTAGGGAAGTTAACAATTTTTATGCAAGCCCTTCTAACATTGATTATTTCTTTTTCTAACCTTTTAAACATAAAATCTTAAAGAAAATTTCCCTGAGTTATTTCTCTTTAATGAGATTTCATCATTTCCCTCTACCCACGAGACATGCTCTTAATTAATTACATAAATACTAATGTTATCCATAATCAGTGCTTGATTAAAAATATTAAGATCTACAGTACTTTGACTAATGTCTCTTCAATAAGTTATAATGGAATGAATTAATGTAGCATCCACCGGTCCTTAAAAAACATATAAAAGGTCAGTTTTATGGCACTTCCAGGCTGATGAGACACACACACAATGTTCTGTGGGCTGGTGTATAGGTGAATCTTAATGACATAAATTCCAACCTTATAACTCAATGTACCAGAGTTGGGTTCCTGAAAATTAATTCACATCTTAATCCAATAATTTCTCTTGTAGTTTTCAAAATTCAAAGAGGTAATCCCAAAGAAGAGATAGCGAGGCTTCAACCCAGTTTATAATAATAATGTCCTAACAAAACATAAATAATAATCCTCAATAAATTAAGTAATGTACAGTACCAGAAAATGTCAGCTGACAATGAGATGTGGATAAGAAGAAGCATTATCTTCCTGGGAACTATTCAGGAATAGTGTGCTTTTGTTTTTAAAGGAAAAGGACATTCCTTAGAGTAGGAATATAAAGCTCTTCTTGTCAAGAACCCCTTACAGTTCTTTCTAAGTCTCTTTGTAGCTTCTTCAGTTACACATAGTTAAAATAGTTAAAATTAAATATAAAGTTCTTTGTCTTTCACTTAGCATGTGAGCACACCTTTTTATCAAGGCCTTTTTTTTTGAGAGCTTTTGTTTTCTTTTATTCTTCTTAAGAGGAGCTAAATAGTAGTCCTGAGCTGAGGTTTTCCTGAAAACTTGCAGAAGTTCAGATAAGAAAATATAGGTAGAGTCCAAAGAAAGATGAACTCAGATCTTGAAACCAGAGAAACAAAATAGAAGAAGTAAACTGATCAGAAGAGCTCCTCTTAGCAAAATGGCTAGAAGAAAATCAAAGGACCAGTGTGCAGGTAGTTGCTTCCAATGTATCGTGGAAGATACACTGTAAGAATCGGAATGGAGAAAGAAATGTGCAGCATTTTGCCATCTTGTAACAGCATTTAAATATTCAAACGTCTTTGCTGTGGCTGTTACTGTAAGTCTAAACTGAAATTCAAGTAAAAAGATGTCAAATGACATCTGGTTTTCCCTTTAACTTGGAGAAAAGACATCTTGAAATCATTGACACAAAAATATTCACAAGGATAACCCCTTTTCCTTAACAGAAATTAAGTCACATAAGGAGTTTAATATAAATATTAAATAATTAAAAGAAATCATTCATATAAATAAATAAATATGATCAATAAGCTTCTACAGTTCAGCTGAACGTCCTTTTAGTAGTACGGTAGGATTGATATCCTCCAGTCCAGAGTGGGAGGGGGTCGCATTCATGGTGACTGTCTTGGTGGGCTGTGGGTCCCCAACACTGAACGAAGTAGAGGGGCAGCCTTTCACGTTATTGCAGATGAGAGACTGAATGGAGGCAGTGTTGATGATTTTAAAACCCACTTCACCGCCAAAAGTGCTAGGCTTCCAGTAGTGAGGAGAACATATAGGATTGCCCATCAGTCCTTTCAAGGAAAAGGGGGCTCCAAGTTCTACCATGGTCTCACCAAAGATGCTATCTGGGCGAGGCTCTTCTACCAGAAGGGCAGGGTACAGCTCCATGGCGTCAATGTCACCATAGAGCGCTTCTAACTCCGCAGCCATTTCCTTCTCTCCTGTGAAGGTGACAAAGACAAGAGACACAACCCATGTAAATATTTACAAAATGCAACAAAATAGTTTTACCCCTTCACTCAGTCTGCTTCCAACTTCTGTGTTGTTTGGACTAGGCCCTTTGAATCTTGTAAGAAGCTTAGAAGCACTCACCTGTAAGTTCTTCAAATGATTCATAGGGCTTCATCCGAAAGCGTTTGCGGTACTCGTTCAGAGGCTGGTATCTCATGTGTCTGCTCTGCTCAATTGAGGCCTTGGCTACTTTTCGTACTGCAACGGGAAGATTCCGACCGCCAGCCACCTGCGGAAAAGGAATTACATTATAAAACAACGTTTTCAGGCATATTTACAATTTCTATCTTAAAAGCCTTCCTTGGTACAAAGTAACTAAGACCTATGCTCCCAACTGAGACCTAAACTATTCAAGTTTGAAATGTTCATTTCTATAATCTCCAAGATTATAGAAAGTTTTTAAAAATACCTATAGCTAAGGTGTGATTACATATTGCCATTTGATAACTGTAGACTCAAAGCTTTGACTTTTCAAAAAATGTTAGGCTTCTTATTTCAAGAAGAGAATCTAATTAGCAAACGAATTACTTTTCTTTAGTAAGTAAACAGACTAGTCCTCTGTTTTATTTTGTTTTTCAATAGTAATGCTTACCCTGCCGGCATTTTGCTTGCTGAATGATTCGACAAACTGGGTAAGCCCATGTTCCATTAATAAAGAATTGTTGTAGAGAAACTGTTGATAGCTGTACTCCTGGTCATCAATGTGAAAGGTGTCAGGCAGAAGGGGATGCCAGTGGTAGAGAGTGTTAAACTCAGCAGCGATGCGGTTTTGGTACTGGAATTGTTGGTTGAAAAGCAGCTCTGGGTCAAACTTCAGTTTGAAGTGATAGCCACTCAAGTGTTGTACATAGTCTTCAATCACAATCTTAATAGTTTCTCCTATTTGCACAAAATAAAACATTTAGAACATTAATTCTTTCTGATCATTAACTTTCAAGCAACCAAAGTGCAATTTTGTTGATGTGCTATTCCCTCACTTCTACTTTTTCATCTTTACCGTGAATACAAAAGACAGTTCTATATTATAATCATGCTCATGGATTAAGTTAATATGGAGCATGTAATTTTATATTCACCACATTCCCCCAGAATGACTTAAAACATAGCAAAGGTAAAGGACTCGTTTTCTCCGGGGAAGATGGTTTTATTGAAATTATTTTCTTCTCTTCCTTACCTATCAGTATTAGCCTGCTTGTCTGGAACAACCGCTCGTCATCCCATTCTGGATGCTCCTGCTTAAGCACATCACACACTCTGTTATGTTCACGCAGCCAAATTGTGGCATACATCATCAGACCAGGCACCAGACCAAACACCTCCTGGCCCACGGCAAACCGCAGGTGTTCAGGGACATGAGGCGGGTAGATCATCTCAGCCTGGGTATCTTTGACTGTGGGAGGATATACCTCTCCATCAATTACCTAAAAAACAATGGTAATAAATAAACATCACCTTAAAAGTTAAGAAATACATTTCAACCAGATATTTAAAAATATAGGCAAAGGGGTAAATCATAGCTAATTCTTAATGTTCAAATGGGACAAACCTGATATTTCAGTTTTCCATCCTTGAAAAGGCGCAGTTTATGCTGTCTATCCAAAGTTTCACCATAAACATGATTTAAATCCACCTGGAAAATTTATAGAAAAAATCAGTTTGCTGTTATTGAAGTTGTTCTTATATAAAGCATCCATGATATCATTTATTATTAAACAATTTGATGATTTAGCTTGCTTCAATGAAAGATATTCAATAAAACACCTTTTTCATAGCCACAAAATACTAAGTTAATATGTTTATCTACTGAAGCGACAAACCTATATATGTCTCTTGTGTTTAAAGGCATTAGTATATCCTATGCAGCTTATTAATATATCATATGCTTTGGTATAATGATATGGGTATTTCCTTTAAAAGGCATTAGCAAATGTATTATTGATATAAAATTCTTAATAAATGAATTGAAACTCAAAATATAATGCTGCAAAAATTTCACCTTATCATATTTAAAGCAGCATAATCAGGGTACAAACATGTTGTAGAAACATGTTTTCAAAGACATAACTTTGGCAGTGCTAATATTTTGAACTAAAAATATGAGCCAAATTATAAATATCTGTGTGTGTGTTTGTGTGTTTACTTAACCAGTGAGTTAAAATGAAACTCCACTAAAAATTTTATAGACAGGACACTTTTCAAAAAGAGGGTGCCTTATTTGGTGTGGCAAATAAATACATGGTCTTCAATGTTAGCACCTCACTATGATTAGCTATATTTCTGATTTAGTTCTATCTTACCCCATGACCCAGTCCTTTAGTGAAAGCTGGTCCTCGCTTATGATCTGTCTTGAAAAACTGATGGGTGAAGTGCTGGGCAAAGAATGCAAACATCAAATTTGTGCCCTGGGGATCAGGAATGAACTCTCTTCTTATCATAAATTTATCCAGGATCATGTCTGAATCAGGAAGCTCTTTCTTCCCTGAAAAACGAGAAAGCCAAGAATTCATCCATATATTCAAGGAAGCAGATAGTATACTGTCATTTTACTAGAGCCTTCCTCCCTTTCAGGAGAAATACAGTTGTGACCACGATCATAATATAAAGACAGTTCAAAGACACCGGGAAGCAACTTCTTATTTAATAATTTTATCTGCTGTTTAACTAGAATGAGTCCAGTTTTAATGAAAGAATTCAAAAACATTAAGATATTCCCTTTCATGAAATAGTCTACATGGACTCACAGTTTCAAAAAAAATCTCCATAGATCTCCATTAAGAAAGGAAGAATTAGACTTTTATTAGCAAATAAATGATAATGTAGGGTCAAATGTTCTAAGTAGCAATCCACTCCCCCCCCCTTCCTCCCATTTCAATGCATCTCTCACTGCCTCCTCTCACTCACCTTTCACACCCATGGGAGTAGGGCAGTCATCAGCCACAGGAGGAAGAGCTCTGGTATAATAGGAGAGATTCGAAAAGGCTTCCCAGCTTTTATAGCCATAGTGTGCATTGTACGTTGGTGGGCTGTCAATCAAATCTGATCTGGCTGAAATTTTCAAGAGAAAAAATTTTGTTTAATTTGTTCCCATATGCAAAGCAAATCAATATTCATGTTTTAAAATTGTAAAATGTGCAAAATAGCACCAGAGATTGAATTTAATTCCAACTATGATACTCTTTCAAAACATGTACACTTTCAATTCTAACTGAATTTAAAAGAATGATTCATTAAAATGCATCTTTAAGAAAGTATATATACTTTACACAAGACCAAATGGTCTACCATCTTGATTTTTCAAGTAACCATCCAAGAAGCTTGGGAAAGATGTGCAGAATTGTAAGCAAAATTCTGACTGTGAGATAAAACTTTATAAACTGGATGGGACTGAAATGTCTATATTTTTTGCCATTAAGATAGAAGATACACTAAAAAAGTATATTTAAAATCATTTTGACAAGGTTGGAAATATGTTTTTGGATTAGGTTTAGTAATCTGGAGTATTATAAAAACAATTTTTTTCCTTTGAGGAAACTGAAAACCTTAGAAAGATAATGTACTTACATGTCAACACATATTTCATAATTGCATTTCTCAGGAAGGGAATATTATTGATAATGTCCCAGACTCCCTTGAAGTGGGTAAGTATGTAGTGCACCGTGTTTGGAGTGGGTTTCAGGAGTAATTTTATTCTTGTCATAAATTCAGCTGCAATGAGAGAAAAAAAGGATGGTGAAATTAATGGGGCATATTAGAAGATGCAAATCTGTAAAATGACAACTGTATATATCCACCTTCCAAATGAGGGCACCCAAAGGCAAACTTACGTGTTGAGCAGTTTTCCCCGTAGAATCCTGTTCGAGTACAGTCACACGTATACTGGTCAAATCCAACACTCATACAGACACCTCGGTTTTGGCATGGGTTGGAACAGCAAGGATTTGCTACAATAAAAGTAAGGACAGTAAATAAATTGTTCTCCAGCATCTTAATCTTGACTTAAACATTTACTTGTTCTACTTCCTATGGATCAGCTTTACAATAATCAATTCTAGAAATATACAAATAGTCATGGGAAAATAATTTTTTTAAAGCTTGCCTCACAGAATGGTTATAAAGCAGTAATACCTACTTCCTATTCTAAATAAGGATAATGGATATCATGTTGCTAAGCTTTTTCATAGTAACGTTTTAGATGTTCAATTCAGCATTAAGGAGCTCAAATAAGTAGCTCTCTCAAAATTAAAACGGATAGATCTAGGGAAAATCGCAAAGTAAAAACAGCTTACTTTTAAAAACACTTTGCCTCTCTGAAAAACAAAAACAAACAAAAACCTGGGCTTTCCTGAGAAGGAAAGCACTAACTGGGGTATTTAAAACAATTACTCCCACTCAGTAACAGTGGGTACCACACACAAGCGTTCCACATCTATTGACCTCATCCTGTCTCATTAAAACGACAACCTGCAACTTAGTATCACTATTCCTATTGAGCAGTTGAGAAAAGAGACCCAGACTGGTCCATGATAATCAGAGCTGGTGGCAAAGGTGGGATATCTACCCAGTTCTTTGGCGGTCAAGTGGTCCAAGTTCTTTACAAAGTCTACAGACTCCCTATTCCGAGAGTGCTCAGAGTGAGGGGCCAGGGCAAGTCCGAATGGAGACTTGCGGGGCAGAACGGGTCGCGGGGCGCCAGGTACCCACCTGCAGCGCGGAGAGCCAGGGCTGCGCAGAGCAGCAGGGCGCGGACGAGCATCTGTGCGGCGGGGAGCGCGGCGTGAGCTCTCAGACAGTGAATGGCGCAGGAGGAGCGCGGGATGGAGCTGATGGAGCGCTGGATGGAGCTGGAGGAGCGCTGGATGGAGCTAGAGGAGCGCTGGCGGGATTCCTGGGCGTACTCTGTAAGCGCTCTCTCGAGTCCTTTGACAACTGGAAGCTAACGGAGAGAACCTTCCTTTTATGCGTGAAAACTAGCCCACGTGACGCTATGACTGGCTCTTTCCGCC